ACATTGTTCTCATACTAAATCCAAAACACAGGACTCTGCCAGCTATTAGAAAGAAAATGAGCTCAATCTCAGCTGAAACCAGGACACCCGATTTTATAGGCACAGAAAAATGCAGTTCTGTGAGCACCAGAATAAGCCTCTGTGTGGTTAAAGGGGAGTCTATTCCACAGCAGCTGCTTCCATGTCTGTTAATGTTACCCCTAAGTACACTGCATTTTCCTATCAGATTTATTTCAGCTTTAAAATTAACGAGAACTATAGCTTATCTTCTGAGGAGAAGCTTTTCTAGACGCTCTGGGCTGTTTACCAGTGGATTCTGCTCTTTTTTTAATACATGTAATATTTTTATATCTCTCTTAGAATAAAACACATCTTGTATCATTGACAGCATCATTCACCATAACTGAAGAAGAGAAGACCAAGGTAAACTCTATGATTTGGTATTTTATTGACTCTCCTGCTTAAACGTATGGACAATCTAAACTAAATCCTAGGAGCTAAGGATGTACTTATATCTCATCGCTCGGCTATTGGCTATTAATCATACACAAGTTATGCCTTCTCTGATTTTAAGAAGAAGAAAACAGGAGTCAAGATAGGGGTTCTTTGTTGTTTTAAAGCAGCAATATTTAGTATGCAAAATCTACAAACTTCCATTATATTTCTAGCCATGTTTTTTAATTTGAAGAGTTGTCCGGGCACAGAGAACTGTGATGAGGAATATGCTCATCCTGGGCATAGCCACCATAAGAAAGCTTTTTGCCTTTCTAAAATGGTGGAGTTATCCTCTACCTGTTGAGAAAAGATTTCTGTATCATGCTGATACACAAACCAAAAGATAGCTGTGTGGGGAGCCTGGGAAATAAAACTACAGTTAGACAGACATAGTTTACATTTGCTTTTAGTTTTTTGACTAGGCATCCTTCCAATAAGACTTTCTGTTCTTGGCATCTGAGTTAACGTGGGTATTAGAGGCCAAATAAACCTTCAAAATTACACTGGTTGCAACAAACAGTGTTATTCTTCTAGATACTTTTTTTATTAGAGAACTTCCCACTGCATCCATCAGTTTCATTGCTAGAGTAACCTCTTCACCAAACTTGGTTTTCTCCCCCAACTCTTCATGACCTTGCCAGGCTGCTGTGTTGCAAGGGATCTTTTGTTTAAGGAGTTGTGGCTTGATTGGCAAGAATGCTGTGATTATTTGTGTTCAGGCAGAAGAAAATAGTTTGTTTCACCCCAGAATATTTTTGCTATGGTTGTATAATTTGAAATCTAAAGTTCATGTGGATGGGGCTTGCCTGAAGAGGTCCTGAGGACTAGACCGCTCATTCCTTCCATGGGCCTGTCCCATGAGTTCCTCTCCACCTTTAAAATCAGTAGTCTGTTTGGAGATTGGGCATAGGAGCCTCTTGTTCCAGTATTCCAACCCAAACCATTCTACGATTCTATTCTCTTTTGCTGGGGATCTCTTGCCCTCTTAGCTTCTATTAGTGTAATAGATGTAAGTCCAGACTTGACTTTCTCATAATTGAAGATCAAGTGCCCATTCTGTTAAAATGAAACCCAGAATTAAACATGATATAAAGTAAAACTGTACATGAGCTAAAGAACGCATTGTTCCTGGATAAAATATCTGGTAAGTTTTAAAAGGATTGGACATTTGTATAGCTAAGAATTATGCTTGGAATTACAATAAATGTATATTTTTGAAACTCCTAGTCTTAAAGGTATAAGCCATGCAGTAGCTGACTGGGTTAGCAAAATAGCTTCATGAATGGTTTTCTCTAGAGTTCAGTGCGAATTGATCTGCAGCAGTTGGTGGTGTTTAAGCTCAGACTGTAAGCTACGTGGGTCTCAGCCCACTGTGAAAATTCCTGCAATCTATTACTATACTTAAAACCTTTATAGTGATGGTGGGGGGTTTTCCAACTCGAACTTGATGGTTAGACCTCAGCAAGTTCTTGGGGACTATTACATGGTTAGGTAAAATTGGCTCAACTGCATTTAAATTTAATAAATGAACAGGTTTTGTAATTAAAATATGTGGTAAAGGTGTGTGGAGAATACTGTTAATGTTTGAAAAATAAAGCTTGGAAGTTATGGAACACATAATATTTCACGTTTCCTTTGGGCTGTGGCCAAACATAAGGTGTTCCAGAATGAAGTCAGTTTGTGCAAGGAAATTACGATCAGTTGAAAAAAGTGCGATGTATTCTATTTCATCCGTATCTTCAGCTATCATAAATGCTCTCAATCTCCGATTTTATTTATTAAAATTCATTATTTAAACCTGTTCATGGGTGTGGTGAAGCCAACACACGTGTGACTAAGTGGATACTAAATTTGACTTTGGGGACGGAAAAGACAGTGCCATGCTAAGTTGGTCCCATCAGCTTTCACATGGTTTCCTTGCATGCTTGGCTACTGTGCAGTTCTTTAAAGTTTTACAAACCCTGTGGATTTTCTCTTCTGCCCCATTGGAAGAAAGTGCTTGGTTGCCTGTGACAAGGTAATTTTGTGGGTTGTGAAAAACTATGAGTGTTGCTCATCTGAGTGTCCGTGCCAGATATCTTCCCACAGCACTTCAGGGGCTGTGAGTTCTGCGTGCTTCTGCCCTTGGCTGGGTCATTTTGGTGCTGAGCAGGAAGCTGTAGTGAAAAGGACAAAAGGAAGTTCTCCCATCTAAACACATTGCATGGGATGGATGATAATAATTACTTTAACCTGATTTTTACCAGGCTTGCTTCCCTCAGCATCCATCAAATTAGTGGGAGCGCAAGCAGTTTTTGAAAGAAGCTTGGGCCTTTAATGCTTTTCCCACTATTAGAATGGCTTAAGAAATGAGCTCAGGATATGGGTTTTGAGGCTCACTGGTGTGTCAGTGGTTTGAAGGTTGGCCTGCAGTGCTGGTCCTACGCCGTGGCTTGTGCAGGGGCTGTGGCACCTGCCCCACAGCATCTGCTGTGATGCTTTCAGATGCTCTTAGGTGCCTGCTGTGTCCTCCTGCATGGGTTACAGCCCCCCAATGACATGGACTGTCCATGAACAGTGTCCATAACCCATTTTCTTTAAGTATAAAACCAAAGATAATTCCCTGTCCATTTTTCTCTTAACCTCTGACCGAACTGCCTGCCCAGATGCAGACTGACTGTCCCGCCATAGGTCTCGCCTTTTACTTTACTTAGAAAGCACAGGCTCATTCCCTAGCCAGCACTTTTTCTCCATCAAAACTTAACCTGCCTCATTTCAGCTTCACTGAACCCATAGCCTCACCAGATTCCTGCTTTCCCCAGAAGCCTAGAGAGATCCCTGAATTTCACAGAGTGCTTGGAAATTAGACAAAATGATGAAGTGGTTCCAAAGCAGCGTATTTTCTAATAATACTTAGTATCTACAGGATCTCCTGTTCCTTAAAAGTGGTGGGACCTCGGGCAGAGCCTTGGTGTGGCAGAGCTTGAGGAGAATCCTTCAGTGATTCCCAGTGCAACCAGAGAAGCTGGGGATAGCAGATTAACTTAAGAAGAATTGCATTTTTTCCAAGTCACACACAGACATTTGTTGGCTCTGTGACTATTCAAGGGTATGGGCTAAACCCTTTTGATCTGTGAAGGGAGTAAACACTGGGTTAGGGAAAGGAGTTGTTTAATATTTACATAATCGTCTTTCACGATGCAGATATTTTGATGCAAATTGATGCAGCTTTAACAGCTTGAGGCAAGGAACTGGGCTGCAGTGCAGAGTCAGTGGAGGAGAGAGCTGATGTAGATGTGCTGGGTGTCCTTAGTGGCCAGCCGTGGTACAGGGGAGTGTAATGGAATCAATTGGCCAAAGTAGTAGGAAGCTACATCCAAAAAAAAAAAAAATTCAGACAATGTGTTGGTAATTACACACAGAACTGGGACATTAATGTGTTGCTCCTCTTTTACTTTTCTTTCTTTTTTCCATTTAAAACTTAAAAGATATGGAAAGGTATTGGAAGGAATTCAGCACATGGCTGGCTTCCTTAGATAACTACTTAGTCCCAAAACATTTTAATGAACCTCAGAGTGCTCCAAGTGTTTAATTATTTTAGACTAAGCACATTAAAAAAACCAAAAACAAAAAAAAACACAACAAAAAACCAAACCAAACATAACCTCTTTCAGTTAGAGCATTTGTTGATTCTACGTGTACAATACCGTGAAGTAAACCTTGGATCTTCTTGGAACTGTGCAAGTGCCAAATAGTAGTCTGTATTAGCATTTCGATGATCTCCTTGATACTGACACTATCAGCTAATTCAGCTGAAATCATGTTGAAATCAATGAGCGCTGAGCATCTCCAGCAGCTTTGAGAAGCTGAGCCTATGAAACAACAGTCTGACATGAAGCAGTTGCTTTCAGTTAGAGATATGACAGATTTTCATTGTACAAAAACATACCAGAGAGAGAAAAACTAGGCAGTAAAAGGATAAAATTCTGCTGTTAAACTGGAATAAATCCTTTTCAAATCATCAACCACATTTGATTATTGCTTCCTATGCAGAATTACCATTGACTCCATGGAATGCTCTCAGGTTTCTGCTCCAAGAGATCACCAAGCCCAGTTTGCAAGCAGCATGTTAATTATTTACACTTTCTAGCCCCAGCAGAGTGATTAGTTTTTGGTGAAACATTATACTAATAGCTGTGCTATGTTTTTCATCCAGAGATCTCAAAGAACTAAACAAACACTGAATTAACTTCTGCTACATGGAGCATGAAATAAAAATTAATTTTTAATGCAATTCAATTTAAAGATTAAATTAAGAGCTAAAGTGAAAGGCCTACAAAGTTGTTAGCTGGCTCACAGTTCTGGTGCTCCCGCTATTCTTTTTTGACTCTGGCTCATGCAGAAACTGCAAGGGTGCACACAAATTGGGTGGTTATGTCAACTGTCGGTTACATATTTATTCTGAACTCATATTGGTGCTTTTTTCCTATGGTGATTACTCAGTTTTATTGGATTGAGAAATGGCCATTAATTAAAGGTAGCCAACATTAGACTGATTTTTCAGAGGCTCTGAGCTATATCAAGTACCATCGATTGCAATGAGACTTAGGAGAGCTTGGCAACACTGGAAAGCAGGCTATTAAGTACAGGACACCCAAAAGTCACAGCACCTAAAATTCAACTGTGGCAGTTCTGTTACTTGGAGTTACACAGGAATTTAGACTACATGAACATAACAAACCATGCTGACTTGAAAACCTATGGAAAATAGATACTTGTTTGAAAATATTAATAAAAATGTAGTAATTATAACTTAATGCCGAGAAACCCTGAAGTTGTGTGAAGGCAGTTAAAAATAATTTGCTATGTTGCTTACAGTTGTAATCTTGGAGTCTCATCTTTATATATATTTAAAATGTGGTTTTAATAATATGGTCTTTTCATTTCAGATTTCATACAGCCATGCCATCCACGCTTCAGGGTTCTTCATTGCTTTTTTCGTTTCCCTTGTATTGACATGTGCTGGTTTTTTCATTGTTTACCGAACCCAAATATTAGAATGGAGTTTCTGCAGTAAAAACCAGGTGAGTCATACTGTCTGTAACGGTACTTTATTTAATTTTTTCATTCATCATATCTGAATATATAACTTGCTAACTAATACAGATTGTCTAAAGAGTTTTTGAAGATAAATAAAAAGCCACCAAGTGATGGATTGGATTCGCAGGTAATGAAATCTCTACAACCTCTAATGTTTAGCACAATCACATTTAGAGGGGAGTGTAAGAATGATAAACTAATCAAAAGAACTGCTGTCAGTACCTGGATGATAGCTTCAAACTGAAGGGAAATTGCCCTTAGGCTATTTGTTTCTTTTCATATTCCACTCTGCCTCCTCTCCTCTTCATCCCCCAAAACAAGACAGAGACAGGACATCTATGGGTTATGAGCAGTTGCCCAGGCAGTAGACCACTTGCTTCGAGCACAGCAGGTTTGAGTCTGAATTGTATTTCTAATTACCAGGAATAAGGATTTTAATTTAATCTTGGTTCCTTGGATGTGCCTTAATCTCTTGAGTGGTTAAGCAAAACGGTTGGGTTTGGGGATGGAGCATTTTCAGTGTTCTTCGTCCAAGCTGTGCTACTTTGGAGAAAATGTTTCAGTACATACTGGGGCAGTGAGAGAAAATAGTCTCTGATAAATATTCATCAGGTTGGCCCAAGTTCCAGCCCATGCTTCTATTAATTGTTTATGTATTTATCTAAAGTGGAGCAACTTCAATGGGAGGGAGCTAGAGACCTCAATCAGAATATTACAGTGATTGGAGCAGTCCTCTCAGAGGGGTGTGTGCTCAGAGGTTTGAACCCCTCTGCTCAGTCAGTGGTGCATCTCTCATCCCTCTGGACAGACCGGAGGAGCCCACAAATCACTTCCAGCCTTATTTGCTGCTGTTCAAAATTACTCCATCAACAATTTTTATTTCTTTTAGTCCTGAAAAAAATAGTCCCTTTAAATGAAAAGGGTGTGCCTTGTTTCTTTTTACAAAAAAGCTGTGATATTGAAAACATAAAAAAAGGCTGGTGGGATCCTAGCTTCAGATATTTGTAGTGGATTTTTCTATATAGTAATTTTATTAGGCCTCAGTCTCAAGGGAGTGTCACTGAACTGTGAACTGAGTCACTTCCATCATTCATAGGATTAATTTTTCATGTTGTTCACCTCATAATACTGTAATCTTGCAATATATAATTTGTATACCGTGGTCATTTTTAAAAAAATTGGTCTAGAAAGTTTGTAGTGAAAGATAACCTCCTAGAATGTTTTCACTAGCCTACTGAAGTCAGTATAGAGTCTTCTGTCTTCTCCATTCATTTCTTCATTTGTATTCCAGATTAAAAAGTTCAGTGTGCAACAAAAGTAGTATATTTGATTTTAGATATGTACTTTTATACCCTTTCCTGCTGTACAGTTTGATAATAAGTGGGAACCTTCTCACCCAGAGTTACCTGCAATAAAATTAGATCAGACACTCAATGTAAATTTTTTTTATAATTTGAAGCTTACTTTTTTTTTTTTTTTTTTTTTTTTTAGGAGATACTGCATGAACTCAGCCAGAATCACAAACTGGAGCATTCTCAGTTTAATTCGGGTGATCTCTTTAGTGAAGATATAATTATGAATGACCAAGTCATTGATATTCTGTCCTTTGAAGAATCTGGGAACATGCTTCAGGCTTTAGAAGAGTAAGAATTCACTGCTATTACATCACATTAATCATCAACCAAACCTTTGAATATGTTCTGAGTATCTGCGCTTTATTTTTTTTTTCATAGTGTCTGTTTACACATATGACCGCACTACCATAGGTTTTTGCACTGTATGAAGTAGCCGTCTGTGGGAACTGAAACTGGTCATATTTCATGTTCCTTCACCTGTGGAAGTCACAGCTCCATGTAGGCCTTAGGCATGCAAGTTTTCCAGTCCAAGTGAGCATCTAGTTTTGCCTCCCTGGTTCGCTAAGGGAAACTTTTCTGTGTACAAGAAAATGCTGAGAGGGTGTATTCTACTATTGCTGAGGACATTCTGCTTTCAAAAGGGTGGCTTTTGTCCTAGAAAAGTGAGCCCCTGATGGGTGCCAGTGTCGCTGCGTAGCAGCATTTTTTGGAAAGGCCTGGATCAGAGTCTAAGGAGTGGGAGTTCATAGTGCTGCCAGAGAGGTACCACGGAGCCGCAGTCGGAGCAGAGAAGCTCTGCTGATGTTGAAAGGCCAGTCAGGGCTGTTTGACAGAAACATGCCGCTGTTAAAGGTCATGTGTTCTTCAGCTGATTTTGATAAAAAGGTCTGATGTGAGGACAGAGTGAATTTTGTTTGTTCAGTCTTACCGTTAGCTCCTGGCAGGTCGGGTTACAGGCAGTATTATCCAACTATAAAATCTGTAGAAGCTGAAAAGGAAAAGTTATGGGACCATGGAAGTAATTTTCTTTATTAAAGGGTAACTAACAGCATTATTATTTCCTACATTTCCTTGATAATTGGGATACTTATCTCTGTAAATTGCACATTGGTCCTTGCTTTTATAACTGTATAGCAGCTTGGGCTTTGAGAAGACTTATCCTGAAAATCATTATGTGAATGTTGAGAACAGGATCAAACTTTTTTTTTAACTTGCTTTAGTATTAATTTTTTTCAGGGATAGTGAATATCTAACCAGTTTGGAAAAACAAAAAAGCTGGACTATTTTCAGGTACATGTGGTTTAGAAAGGTAAATATTCTTGCAAAACTTTGGATAGGATTATTTTTATAACTGGATTATTTCTAAACCCATAAAACAGGATTCATTTCTTGGTTTGAGTATGTATCCAGGGACTAAAGTTTTTTAATATTCTTGCGTGGTTAGCACAAATGCTCTCTTGCTTCCACTTCTTTCCTCACAGTTTCTATTTTCTCTGCCTCTAAGGAGGTAGAGCATTGCAGTGAACAAAATAGATGCCCATTAGCAAACTCACTAACCTTCTTCACCTTCTGAGTTTTCTTCTTCCAGGACAAGGATGGTAGATGGACCACAAAGGCGTCCAGAGTTACAGTGGTTCCTGCTACAAAAGATGATTGAAAGGGTGATAGACGTTACTGGGAAGGGCTCACATCAGCCTCTACCTGTTAGCAATGGGTGCTTCCTAATCCCTATTTAGATTATCCCAATTCTTGTAATTTCTTGTAGTTTTAAACTGGACCTTCTGATTCATTTACTGTTAGGAGGTGACGCACAGATGCACTTAAAATATTTTTTCCTATTGTTTCCTTCTTTTTATTGTCACTCATCGAATATATACATTCAATTACTACATACCTGTTCTTCTCCTCTTTTACTGTTGGTGCAGTTTATCTGACTGAGTGAGGATCTCTGCAGTGTGAACTCCTACACCAAGTTGCCCTGAGTTCTCTTTTTTTACTCAGGGGTGAAAAAGGGCACTTCAAGGGTATGATTCTTCTCATCCTGAAATAGACTTCTAAAAAATGAGTTGTATGGGTGCTGTGCCCACTGACCCTAAAGCCTGGAGCCTGGGCTGGTTGGTTAGCTCAGCTGTAGGGATCTGGAGGCGGCTGAGACGAATCCCAATCTTGCAGGCTGGTTGGTAAAAAAGGCTACAACATTACTTTAATGCCTGTATTAGATACATGCAATATTGTTTCTGCTTTTTCAGTAGCTATAATACACCCCTTGGTTTATGTCTCATTATTAACACTTTTATATGATATTTAGCTTAGGATGCTTCCTCATCTCTTCATGTTGGTGCTTAATCATTCTGCAAGTTGGGTCAAAGCAGGCCTTTAATTTCTGATCTCTATTCCTTAAAGGTTTCATTTTAATCTTGTGCTTCATTATCCAGGTTTTTAACTGATTCCAAAGACAAAGATAAAATAATGTACCATCACCTTAGGAGCTTCTATGACAGTGATCTAGGATAAAACCAGAATGGATTAATCCTTCTTTTTACTGAATTACCTGCTTTAAGGATAGTGATTTGCAAAACATAATGGGAAAAAAGAAAGGTGGTGCATTTGTAATTTATTAATGGATAATTGCAGTCAATTTGAATGGATTTTGTGCTTGAATGAAATGTTGTAATTTTACTAATTGTGGTCACAATCAATTTTTCAACAATGTTGCATTTTGTTTTATTACATTTAGCGTCACCCAATAGAATAGTTGGGTTTTCTGTAAGAAACTGAGGAATGAGATTTGTATTGTCTCATAGGAGTGGCAATATACCGAGAATAAGAACTGAGCTTGTATTTTGAGTGCATTTTTTTTCATGTCATATGTAATACCAAGATGAATTTTAGCGTCGTAATCCTGTTTTTTATTATTTGAGGAGGCAAAAGTATACAGGCTTTTGTCAGAGAGCTTTTGATACTTTAGACATTTTCAGCCAACCAACAACATCTTTGTTGTTGCTTTGGTAATTCCTTCTGCATGTATTGGTGCAGCTATGTGTTATTTTCTTTACATGGCATATGTATAAGTTTGCCAACATAATTGATATATTCTTTTTAAATGGGGCTGTGATAGTAAACATGGTTGGAATCATTCCAGTGCTTTGTTCTTTTGTCCAGACACAAATGAGAAAATTACTCAGAAAAGTGAGAGCCACAGGATTTTTTTGTCGTCTTTACGACATAAAGCTATGTTAATAGTTAATGTCTTTTAGAAGTGACAGTGCCAAATTGTTTAGCAAATACATTAGGAGCATGTGTTCAATATTTATGGACAGGGACATCTTTGGAGTGTAGACAGTTTGCAATGTCAGGAGGATTGGCTAGAGAACAAAACATACTTTTAATATTACATAAGGAAGCTTCTTAGTTACTCATTTTGTGAGTTTTGTCTTAATAAGTCATATCCATGATGTACATTATGCAGCAAAATAGCCTGGCTTTTATTCTCAGTAGATTCCTTACTGTGTGTATTCCTGAATATTGGCCCATTGGCAATGAATGCTAATGAGAAGAAGCTATATGATTTGAATATTTTATGTGCGCACTAGAAGATCGTGTTCCAAAATGTTGTGGGTCTGTTCTTCTGTGTGTCTAGAACAGAATATCAAGAGAGCTGAGCAGTTCGGGTTTGTGTCTAATGAGATGAAGTCTGACCATGCTCATAGTCTCAGAAGAGACAGATATGTTAAAGGCAACTTAATTTCTTTAAATGGCTTTCCACTAGTACAACTTTTCTTTTACATCTTTATTTTGTACAGCTATGCTTCCTTGAGTTTGGCAAAGCTTTAGCTGAACTTATACCTGCTCGCTGATACGCAATTCATACTGCCAATTATTTTGGAAAATCGCTAAGTAGTATGTATGCATTGCAGCTGATTTTTTTCTGATGGTAGAGGGCATTGAGGCCAATGTACTAGAGAACAGGATCAAACTGTCTCCAGAGCGCCTTGACAGAAAAGTCAAAAACAATTTACTACCATATTAGAAGTCCACTTTTTCTTTCTAAATGTAAATTTCTTGCCGTACATCTCAATTTAATTTGCTGTGGAGAAAATATGCAGGCTTTTTTAACCCTGAATTCAAATAGAAGGTAAGAATAAAAGATCACATTGTCATAGCAGCTAGACTTGAATATTCCTACATAGAAAATGGTGAGAAATAGTTACATTGTTAGTACAAAAAAAAAAAAAAAAAAAAAGGAGGTGCTAATTTCTGTATTTCATAACTTTTAAAAAATGTAATCGAAATTTTGGAATTTTTGAAGGTGGGGCATTTTCATTGCTCTGTTTTAGTGCAATGTGTACAATGCAGGAATACAACAATAAATAATAATCACATGCATTTAACAATAAATGTGTAAACTATATTTTTTTTCCATCAGAGAAACTCAAATGCTTAATAGATTATAGGAGTCGTAAGACAGGGGAACTGAAGAAAACAGTTAATTTGTAATTAATGAATACATATCTTTTTTCATCTAAAAAATGGCACTTTTCTTTGATGTTGGCTAACTATGAAGAAATCGTGTTCAGAATTATATGGGTCATTTCTGCTGTCCACCCAGAACAATTTATCTCATGCAGAAAACAGTCTGCTTTTGAAAGTAGTGCTGTTAGTGATGCTTTATTCCGTATTATTTTGAAAGATTGATATCTCCTCCCATTTCTGTCACGCGAATACTCACCCCGTCTGAGTAGATCAGAAGAATCTGAGTAGATCACAGCAAAATTGGAAGCTCCTCAGGCATTAATGCATAATGCATATAGCCATAATATTTATTTATGCTTTTGTTACTATCCAGGCTGAAGTTGATGCTTTTAAAATCAATGGTAAAATGCGTGATGACTTCACTGGAAGGCAGGACTGGAGTCTTTTTTTACGCTCTTTTTCCATAGTAGTTTTTCAGTGAAATACCATTTTCTGAGCTCTGTTGCAACAGCTGTATTGTAGCTAGCTGTATTTTTTGAATTGGTTTGCTGAAGACCACTGATTTATCAGTTTTCATACTTTCTGCAATCAAAGTAGAGGTTCTCAGTCTCTTAAATGCAGGATTCTTCAAATGTTTTTTAAACAGATTAAGAATTGAAATACCTTTACTCTCTTCATATTGCTATGGAGAGTTAAAGTGATTTGATAGTGAAACTCTTGCCAAATCTAGTGCTTAGACTTTTGGCAGGTTTTCATGAATCTTTTTTTTTTTTTTTCTGAAGAGCCACTGGTCTCTCAGCTCAATTTATCACCTT